AAAAAAATTTGTTTATCCAGTACGACACAAGCAACCCATGCATGCGCATTGTTTAACTCCACAGACCCCGCGACCACGCCCAGCACGCCCAACGTCACTGTTAGAAAAACACACGGTTGGTCTGCGCTGTAAATTTATTGCCTGGTCCGAGACCGTAATTTTTGGTTACGGTCCATGTCATACAGAGCAGACTGTAGCTTGAAAAATTGTTGGATAAGTCGAATACAGCTCTTAGCCAAACCAAGAAAGTACAGTTCATACTGCTATGGCCTGACCGTAGGCAAACCGTACCTGCCTACGGTATTTTCCACAGTGACACATGCATGCATGCATGCGTGCGCACGGTTTAACTACACGGACTCTCGATCTACGCACTTACACCCGCGCGAACAGCTGAGCATAGTCGTCCAACGGTAACGGTCGATTTGCCTCTAGCTCTTGTGAACTGTAGCTCTTGTGGACTTTAGCTCTTGCGACGACTAGCTCTTGTGAACTCTAGCTCTTGCGACGCCTAGCTCTCGTGGATCCTAGCTGTTGTGGCTCTAGCTCTTGTGAATCCTAGCTTTTGTGAAGGCCGTCGTTTAATTCACAAAAATGTTAGAAATGAGAGGGGAACATTGTATTTCAGTAAATATTGATGGATTTAGGTCACACTGACGTGTGCTAGCAAAAAAGTTGTCTTAGACCCCCGTGTTAAAAAGGAGTCTTGAGCCCACCCCTATACCCGCAAGGTGCAATGGCGCCATGTGACGACAACTCGAAAAAAGGGTTTAGAACAACCGGGGAAACGAGTTTTTGGGTTTCTTGTGTTGTTTGGGACCTAAAGAGACAGAATGTGAAGAAACAAATGTTTTCACTGCTGGCCTGGTTTGGCGCCTTAAAGGGTTAAAAGAACAAGGGGGACATAGCATTTTTTTAAGGGGGTGCTGTTTAGTGCGAGAGTTGTACAATGATCGGCAATCAAATGATTTCTTTTGATTTCTTACCGTTTTAGACGCACGGTGGGATGTCTCACACAGCGTCAACATTAGAATAACATACGGCATACCGACCAGGAACGCGAGGAGCGAAACCTTTTTAAACAGAATAAACAACCGGTAAGTGTGAGTAGATGGCGGATGGCTGTTGTAAATAGCAGTCCATGTAGTAGATTGATGGGTGGGATGCCAGCCCACGTTTTGCGCCATCATTGAGCCATCATATTTGTATCGGTCTATCAAACTACCACAAACAAAACACGAAAAAGAACCAGTTGGTTGGTGACAGCCGGAAAGGCTGTGCTGAGCGTGTGCTGGTTGCACCAACCGCACAGCTCTGGGATGACGATTGATTGGCTGCCCAACCAACTATGCCTTGTCTCCACCTAACGGTGGTAATCAGAACCTCGTGCAGCGTGGCTAAGCTCTCCTCGTGCAACCGAAACAGTAATTTCTTTTCACCAGCGGCCGTTTTGGGTAAATAACTCCTTGGCTACCGCAATACAACAAGCATTTGCCAGGTTATTTCACTGGAGCGCTGCCCAGAACTAAGAAGATCAAAAGCGGACACAGAGCGGTGGTGAGGGTGGCTCCCCTGGCCCCCGCTCCTTTGCTCACCGGAGCAGTTAACCTGCTTTACCTGGAGGTGACCAGCCATTAGCTTCTCGAGCGCCTCGTAGGTGTGCATCGTTATGAGCACCACCACCATCCCAACTACCATGCACATGCTGATTGGCGTTAGTATGAGACCATTGATGACAGATGAGAGCTGAATCCATGCGTGACGATATGTTCGCACCCGCTGAGCCATTACGTGGCTGCACGTCAATTCCTGCAAGAGAAGTGAAGATGCATAGACCTTAACGAGGTATTGCTACTATAAAAGGATACTACTCGAGCTAGACTTTGCTTGCGTATCGCGTTAAGTCATAAGTTTAGCATTGTATATATTCGTAGGCAATAAACATCAGTAGGGAGACAGCGCAAGGGAGACAAATATGTCCTATGGCATTAAGCGATGTCACATTTTGATCCAAAGGATTTGGGCATTAAATAAGAATATCCCTTAATACTACAGTGTAAAACCAAGTGTCGACCATGTACTTAAGGAACAGCGTGCCACGACGACACGTCGTATAGTATTGACCGCTGTCACATTATAATGTTCATTTCCTCGTGATTCAATGTTGACATGCGTCAATCTTACGACATACCTACGATGAGCAATGGGCCTTCAAAGTGTGCAGTAGCCCGTTTCAAACTGAAGTGTCAAGTCAAAAGTCGATGAGGTTCGGGCCTTAAAAGAAAGGATACACCTTGCAATTGATTTTGGTCCTGGCCCGATGTCCATGCGACGAAGCGCCGCCGAGCTCACAGCACCTTTAGATATGGCCCTCGAGAAGCACCCGAGCTAGCCTCGACCTTGCAAGGCCCGACCCGCACGGTCGGGGCAGGAGCCGGAGGTGACTCGGTACCAAGGTAGGTCCTTACAGGTCTTTCTTTCGACCTGACAATGAAAATCCGCGCTCGGCGAACCCACTCCCGTTCCAGGGGCTCAAGTCTCAAAAACCCGTCACTCAGAACTGACGGAATACTATGCAACATGGATAGGTGTTTTTTTCGTGCATTCGTGTCGGCTAGTCAATGCCCTTTCCAACGCCGTATCGCGGGTTTGGGCGTGAATAAGGAAAATGTCCGACTTTTGTGTAATCCGCCTGCCAGGCAACAGCTGTACACGCCTGTATAAAATCTACCTAGTTGGCAGGCGGATTACACAAAAGTCTAGCTTCTTGAGCTGTACAGAAAACTGAGTGTCTTCTTTGCCTGGTCAGGGGGACTGTCTCGTTTTGGCCCTGTGGGCTAATATTTTACCAATATTTGCCCGCCCTTCTGCTTTCAAGAGCTTTCGGGTGGGCTAGCGCAAATGACCTATTGTCTATTTGAGCGAGAAGAAGATTATCGGTTTGACTTTTTCTTTAGGATGTCTTCAGTAGCACTCCTGGATGTGCGAAGTGCTAAACGATTAGGACTTGTGGTGGCGGTGGAATGCATACCTTGGCCAGTTCTTGTGCGAGGGCTGAAGCAAGGCGGTGCAAGCTGAGGGAGCACAGAGCGGGCACCATCATTCCCACGAGCAGAAGTTCGTTGACGTACACGTGCACGGGTGAGTTTGCAGCGTCGGCCAGACTGAACTCGACGAACGTCATCCAGGACAACTCCTGCAGCGGCAGCATCACCGACACAAGAACGAGCATCCAAGCACCAACGCGAGGCTTTTTCACTACGCGCACAATGTGGCCAAACTCGGCCTGTCGTATGGGACAGGACAAAAAGGGGGACGATTCACTAAAAATACTACATTTTACAACAATATCCATATGCATTTCACTGCTTTTGACAAGACGAAAGTATCCATTTCTTCGTGGAGTGCAGGTATTCTGAAGACATCCTGCTGTATGATATAGCTACATTACCTCCAGTGTGTTACAGGCGACAGTAAGATGCTCGATTCGTCGGGCCCTGGCATGCACTTCAATCCACAGCGTCGGCACGATCAGCCACCCTGCAAACGGCACACTACAGTTTTATACGGGTTTTATACTTCTGTGACCCAAAAAGTGTCGTGTTTGTCTGTGTGCAAGGCAAGATAACACGAACCCTTACGGAAAATACCCATCTGTCGATAATCCAAACTTTGTAGGTGTTATCTGCTAGACTTCTACTCATACATGTCTAAAATACCTCTATCTGACCTCTTTTACCAGCCAGCCAAGCCTTTCTCGCAGGAAGGTATCGGGGCGGGGTTTCAGAGGCTTGTACAGGTGAACTGCCGCAAAGAAAATTTCCACAACAGATGTAAAATATGGATCTTCGGGCGCCTTGTTTCTAGATTCCGCAGGAATTTTTCTTACCCCTATCCGTTTTAGAAATACTGAGGAGAAACTATCAAATCTGTCCGGAATTTGGCACTTTGACGGTACTGTGTCTATTAACCCCCAAGGAAACCATAAAAAATACTTAAAAATTAGCAATGCTTTCCAAATGCTTTATGAACAGGCCGTTGTCAGCCAATTATTGAGCTAGAGGGCTCAATATCAATTCAGTTCTTCCTTTTTTGATAAAACTTAAAATAAAAATTTGAGGGGGCATCCGAGTGTAGCAGGCCTAAAAATACGTGTTTTTTTTGCGATTTTTTAAAAAAGAAATGGAAGCAACAGAGGGAAAACTAGGTTTGCTACATAAAAGTACATATCTTTCTCTGTCCAAAACTGCTAAAAAGTTGACCAACGCCTCACGCATACCGGAGAAACGGCCTGCGAGAAAACACGCGTCGCGAATGTCGTGGACGCATGGCGTGCACGATATCTACCCTCCAAATGGTCCAATCGGGCCAAATCCAGTGTCTGCGTGTTCTTTACACTTGCCACTATGGCATGAACCTCCAACTTTTAAAACAAATGATTATTACTATTTTTTTGATCACACTAAACTTTTAGTTTCAAAACATTAGGTAAAATTTCAACTTTACGACTTTTTTTTGACAAGGTTCTAGTTGACCGAGGCCAAAACTGGAGGTTCATGCCATAGCCACACTATCTGAGAGCACTCAGAAAAAAATTGAGCTCGATCGGACTATTCGTTTGGCAGTTATCGTGCACGCCATGCGTCCACGACATTTCGCGACGCGTGTTTTCTCGCAGGCCGTTTCTCCGGTATGCGTGAGGCGTTGGTCAACTTTTTAGCAGTTTTGGACGGAGATAGGTGTACTTTTGTGTAGCAAACCTAGTTTTCCATCTGTTGCTTCCATTTCTTTAAAAAAAAAAATCGCAAAAAAACACGTATTTTTAGGCCTGCTACACTAGGATGCCCCCTTAAGCCTCCTAGCTCAATCCGTTCTCGAGTTATCGTGTTTAAAAACACACAAACAGACAGACAGACGCGAAACTTTTTGATCATTATTGGAGTACGTACTAGCCTTCGCTTTCGCCCAAACAATAATAGATAGCCCATGTTGTTGCTGTAGCAAGGATATCCTGGGCTGTCGGTTGCCTACCTCATCATGTCGAACTTGCCTGTTAGATGAACCATAGAGTGCGCAGCGACGAATTTGACGGTCCAGTCCCGCAGGCGCACTGCATCTTCTGCCAGTTCCTGGACACTGGGCAGACGAGTCACGTACGCTTGGCGGATACGCCATAGCACTACGGCTTGCACGCACACACAGTAACATAACGTGGAGTGGCGTGGATTGAATCCCGGGACCCCTGTATATAGGTAAGAGAAGTAGGTCTCGCACAATATTTAGGGCAAAAGGCGAGAGGGCTTAGGGGTCATCGACGGAGTATTTTGGTTTTAAATGCCAAGGCGACAAAATACCGACGCTCTTGCAGCTGGGGAGGAAGGGGCCTCAACACAAACCATCGTAATGAGTTTTTCTTTTTCAAAAATACTGTTCTTTTCAATTCGACGCCAACTAAGATTTTTTTACTTTAAGGTTCGGTACCTACGTGGTGAATGGGGTCAGATGAATGTAGAAAAACGGCTCCATTCGGAATTCATCTCCAAAGATAGAATTATAGTCAAAGTATGGGTAGAGACAATTCGTGGAGAAATGGTAAAAAATGTCCGCCCGTCACGCGATTCGTGAGCGACTGGGAGGCTCTACGTTGTGCTACAACACAACACAAACCCTATCTCAAAACACGTGCAGTCATGTTTTGAATGAAGCCTTAGCACCTCCCAGTCGATCACAAATCACTTGACGTACGGACACCCCTTCCTGGAATGCCCGTATGTACTTAAGACTACATCCCCCAACAGGAGCAAAAATGTGCTTCCCGTAGATGCAACCGCTGCGGCAAAAAAGAACTTCCCCCAAATTATCAAAAATACATCGCAAAGGTAAAGTAGTGCACCAAGCAAGCTAACATTCGCTGTTTTTCCAGGAATAAACACGCAACGTTCTGTAGAGTTCGTGTTAGAATCATCTCACTTCCCGAAAAACCTAAGTTCCTTTATTGTAATGTGCCATTTTATTCATTTAGACTGGTTCCGGAGACAACAACATCGTTTCCTGAACTTTGTTTCTACTTGACGCTGACACGGCACGGACGCATCGCGCCTTTATAACCATTGCCTTATTTACAAGTTCGAGACCTTCATCCACACCAGCCAACCAGGGACTAAACAGTAGGAAGTAGGTGGACAAATTTGTATAAAAGTTAAAGTGGAAGTGACCAAAAGTGGCGAAAGCGGAAGGAAAATGTGAGCAAAAGTGGCTAATCTCGCGTTGATCCGATCAAAAATTGGGTGGATATATGCATAAAAATGAAGTAAAGGTTGTAAAACAATAAAAAATTACGAAAAGTGAATGAAAGGAGGAAAGTGAAAAGTTAACTTTACACCTCAATTGAGTTGGACTAATTTTATTATAGTGATACCCCTCGCCAGCCAATGGAGCGTTAGAGAGAACATCGTTCAGGGAATGATGTTGTGCATCGCTTTGAAGTGGTAAGTCCTCGACAGTTGCTTAGGCTGTAAGGAAGTAGCTTGTTCATGTCGACTTACACGACCGGATGGTGACGGGAAGGATGCCGTAGAGCGCTACTAAGTATGCTGTGGGTTGCAGTCCGTCAAACACGTGCACATCAAATGGCCTCTTCATGCCGACTGAAAGGGAAATCCCAATTTATATATTCTTTCCGAGCGGTGCATGTTTTGAAAGGTTGTGTTCATAGAAGACCCCTAGTGAAGTTTGGGATGGCGCTAGCTCGGTGCTTTTCGACCCACTGAGGGTTGGCGCTATCGCACGACGCTCAAATTTTGTCAGGAGTCTTCTGTAAATAAAATCTTTCAAATCATGCACCGTTCGGAAAAAAAATGATGCGGGCTAATATCCTGTGTATAAAGTGTACGACTTGCAATGCCTCACCCCTAGAATCCTTGCTGTGCGCATAACGAAAGAACTATTTCGTTTGTAGCGCCTCCATTGATTTAACGTCAGTGCCTTTGTACGCAGTGGACCGCTTGTCAGATAGTCTCCACCCCCTTTGTTGCACGATATACGCTAGCAGTGTGCGTGTGATTCGCTGATAGTAAAAAGGTTGATGCAGACACACTAGACCAACGTCTCGCGTACCAGGCTTCGCGACATCTAACTAAAGATAGTTCCGCTGCGACGCGCCTGCTGAGAGCCGAGGCAAAACGTGGTAAAAGCAGCAGGAAAATGGCAGGATAATTCCATCCCCGAAGGGACTGTGGTGGTCCACATCTGGATTCAGATCGAGAGGTGCATAACTCCTGAATTGGGTGCACAAATGTCAAGAATTGAATAGACCATTTCAGTCGCGGTGACAAGGAGACGAAAAGAAAAACCGAAACAGGAAACAGTTGGGCGAGGGATAAAGAGGGACGGAGGATGGGGGGCGATTAGAAGGCAGTGCTTTTTCGAGGTGTTATTCTTTCCTTCTTCTAATCACCTAACCCTGAAATGGTCTATTTGAATTCGCTTGAATGGAATTTGAATTGGACTGAATCGGTTGACCTTTTTATGAACTGTTTGTGAACTATTGCCATTTTTGGCTGAGCGATTAGCGAAGCCTATCACTCCGTCTAGTCGGAAAAAAACTGTTTCTGTGTCTGTGTGTCTGTCCGCACGATAACTCAAGAACGAATAGGCTATTCCTTGTCACGGACCCCGTGACATGGTTCATGTCTCCCGCCCTCCGCATCAAGCTTCCCGGTCTGCCGAAGGCAGTGACTGCAGCGCTCTAGCTGGGCGGTGGCCGGAAGCGGAAGGAGAGCGGCGGTGACGAGACACTCTCCGTCGACCAGCCGTGCCGGCCGGAGCTGGGCTCCGCGATGCTCCGTGGCTCCGCGCCCGGCGGCGCTCTCGCTCGAGCATGGTAGCCCTCTGCCTGCTTGGCCCACTTCTAGGGCTGTGCGATATACAGATTTTGATATCGCGATACGATATTAGGCAGGTATCGAGCATCGCCTCGATACATCGAGGCTCGATATTATCGAGGTATCGAGGCATATCGTGGGTATCGGAGCCTGTCGATGGCTCGATACAACACGATATCGAGGTATATCGTGCTTAAAATGTGCTACAATACCCACGATATGCCACGATATCCTCGATATTATCGAGCCTCGATAACGATATGTCGATATCGGGAGCATATCGAAGCCCTCGATATCAACATGATATCGTATCGATATCGAAATATCGAGATATCGCACAGCCCTACCCACTTCACCATGACTTGGATTCATCGTCATGCTCATCGTGTGGTTGATCACCACCATGGACTTCCAATATCATCAAGACGCAGGACATGGCCGTCCCGACGCCTTTGACTGTGACGCCATGTATCCGTGTGGAGTGTTGTGTGCCAGCTGGTGGTATGTGTTGACAATAGGGTATTTCGGATAAGCGGAGCGGCGGAAACGGAACCGGCCAGTTCACCGCTGGTTGCATCTCTGCTGCTGATTCGCGGGGGAGAGGGAGAGGCGGCGGGGCGGCGCAGAGTCTACTGCGCATGCGCACTTCGCAGGCTGAGACGGATCCAGCAGCCGCTCGGCCGTTCCGTTTCCGCCGCTCCGCTTACCCGAAATACCCTATTTCAACCCTTTGATGAGTGCACTGTTTGTAGTGTTGTGTCGGGCCCGGACACGTGTTTCTGTTTAAACCTAGATTGGTTTCTTACCTTTTGCCTCGACGTTTTATGTCGCGCAATAGGCTTCACTATGTCAGTCTTCGTACTGTCTGCTGATTCACCTTTTGAGTTGACCGTTTGTATGGTCTTTTGCTCTGGTTATGTGGTTTAAAATGTGCCATTTGTGCTTTGTACTTTTGTAGAAAATCAATGTATTTATTGTTCCTTGTATTTCATTATACGTCATATATTACCATCTTGAATTGCTTCTGAGTCGTTTCACTCTCGGTACCTTCAAGAGAAAGGAAATGTATTTATTATTATTGTTTGTTTTATCAACATTTAATAATTTACATTGAACTTACCTGCGCACTTGCATACTTGCCGTTATTGCTCCTTGCTTTTCTTCTTTCAATAAATAAACTGTGCACTCTTTCAGTAAATGTTTTGTTATGTTCACGGGATTCTAAGGGGTTTCAAAGGAAAGGGACCCACATAGTCGCTCCTGCAATCAAACATCAGTCTAGCCTTCACCCCAACTTATTAGAACCGTGACATCCTGGGAAGCCAAGCAGCGGCAACGAAACTGCTAAGCGGCTGGTAGATCCAGCTCAGCCTGCGAACTGCGCATGCGCAGAGGACTCTGCGCCGCGACGCCGCCCATCCCCCTCTCCCATCAGCAGCAGAGATGCGAACAGCGGTGGACTGGGCACTTCCGTTTCCGCCGCTCCGCTTACCCGAAATATCCTTTTGAGCTAGCGACCTGGGATTTTCAGGGTCGTTTTGTACCGTACAAAGACAGGTCGAGTTCGAAGATGAGCATTCTAGCTGAAAAATAGACTATTTCAGTCCGGCCCGGCGATGGCGAGTGGGGAATAAAAGAAGTACTAAAACCGGAAACAGATGCCCGAGTCGTAGTCCCAAAACAAGGCGGTGGTCGAGTAGGTTGACAAGATGGCGTCACTCTCGTCAGCCTAACCCTGTGCGTCATATGTGTTATTGTTTGTAAATATTTGTGTGAGTAATGTTGTAAAGAAATGACACGTCGAGAAACTTCGCGCACGTATTCTAACACACTCGCATAAGTGAGGCAATTGTGTTTCTTTGTGATCGAAATATTTAACATTGTTCAAACATACTATACTATAAGATCTTTTAGATGGCGAAATGTAGACATGGAATAGAAGTATGCAGTAAGAGATCTTGTGGACGTGGACGCCAACGCTTCGATTCGTTAAAGACGTTGTGTAGACGTGAATTTGATGTTAGAGAATCTACATTGGTGATAGGGCAGACCTGTAAAAAGTGCTTTTTATCATTAAGATAAAACAAGTATCAACTTTATGGCGTTAGGTGTGAAATGTAGGCCCAACTGGAACTTTCCACACAGCACAAAAATTAAATGGTTCTCTCAGCTGTTTGAGAGACCATACTATAAGACGGAAAGGCGCTGAGCGTCGATGTGCCCGTAATGTGAGTGGTCAGCGAGAACGGATTTCTACGTAGAACAAAATAGCTCTCACAGTAATTTCAAGGGATTGAAGGGCTTACTAAGTGATCAACATGCGAGCATGTTCAGCATCTGTGAAGAGGCCTGGTCGCTCTTGAACATTTCTTTTCCTTTCTTTAAAGTATCCCAGCAGAAGAAGGCGGTGACATGGCGCGAGAACAGTGCTTAGTATGTGAGAAGCTAATTTATGACAATATCCAACAATCAATTAGATGTCAAGAATGTAGTAACTGGACACACGTCAGAAAGGAATGTTTGGGAGACGAAATCATTAAAATGATAGATGAAAACGAGATAAGTAAATACTCTTGTCAGAAGTGCGAGGTTGAAGACGTTAGGGAGGACTATGCCAAGTCTCAAGATATCTCAAACAAAAAAGGGACATAACAATGAATCGGACGATGCAGATACGGATCAAATTCTAAATGATTTGATGTCAGACAGAAATACCTCTGTTTTCTCATTAGACTCGGATTTTCACGGGGGTTTATACAGGCAAATGAAGGAGATCATAAGTGATCTGAAAGGCATGTATGAGGAGTTGATAAAGGAAATGAAAACTCTGAAAGAAGAGAAACAGGCAAGTAGGAGAGATAAGGAGGACTGTCACTGTAAGAAAGAAATCATGAAATGATAAAAGGGCTAAAAAAGAACGACGAGTGGGAAGAATCGAAGAGAGTGGATGACACGATCAAGAAGGATGAAAGCATAAAAGGATTAAGGAAGGGAAGAAATAGAAAAAAAGGAACAATGGAAGGCAAAGACAATTATTGTTGGGGATAGCCACGTTAGAGGACTAGTAACTGTAGCAACAAAGCAAGAAGGGTCTATGTCAGGAGCAACTACAGAGGATGTAGCAAAAGCCGCAGAAAACATAGAAAGTCATCATGGTATAGAAGTTCAACAACAAGACACTCTGATAATAATGACAGGAACCAATGATATAAAAATCACTGAGGAAGGTAAGAGAGTAAACATGTATCGAAAAGCGAGGGCTAAAATAATACAGAAAGCCAAAGAAATCAAAATGATAATAATATCAGCTCCCTAGCGATATGACAAAAATAGTATTTTGAAGACACCAACATGATAGATATATATATAATGAAAATCTTCTTCAAATATGTACAGAAGAAACAAAAAAAATGGGAGTAACAGACAGAGTGAGATTCCTGAATATCAATGAAGTGATAGGGAAGAATGACTATGGCACAGGTGGAATACATCTAAATTACAAAGGAAAGAAAAACTTATTGAAAGAGATTGAGAACTCTACCTGGGATTTTAACAGAGAAAGTGAAAAGGAGATAGAATTGGTTGAATTGGATTTTTGAACCTAAAGACGACTAGCAGAAATGCAGGAAGAGAAGGAAGAAAAGAAAGGTGAACACGGACACAACAACAACAAAAAAATAATAATAATAAAGAAGTATGGAACACAAATACATTTAAACTGATACATTTAAATTTGAGATCGATAAGCAACAAAAAGGCTCAAGTAATAAAATTGCTGGAGGAATACAACCCAACAATATCCATCTTCACAGAGCACTGGCTGAATGTGGAAGAAATGGATGAATTTAATATACCCAATTATGATAAAGTGGACCACTTCAGTAGAAAAAATGCGAGAGGAGGGCGAGTATTAATAATTCAGAAAAGTAATTTAAATGAAATAACAAAAAAGTGGGAAGATATGCAGAACATAAGTGTAGAAGGTATCATAGAAGTGTCTGGAATTGAAATAAAAATGAATGAGCAAATAATAAGAATAATTGGAATATACAGACCACCAACTATCGAAAGAGGAACCTCAAAAACTAAACAAATGGAAGATTATGTAGGTCTGCAAGATATTATCATGAGAATCAAGCACATCCAAACCTGTATACTAGGAGACTTTAACATTGAATACCTTGAAAATAGTAAAGAAACAAGAGCAACATTGAATATAATGGAAGCAGCAGGCTTCAAGCAACTAATAAATGAGGGAACACGACAGGGACCTTAAAATGATTCATGCATAGACTAGCTATATGTACGCCAGACCACGTCTCGCGTAACAGGCTTCGCGATATCTCACGAAACACTGTTACGCTGCGACGCGCCTCACGCACATATAGCTAGGCCTGCGGCGCTGACACTTGAGACGAGCTAATAGGAAGGTATACGGGAACAGGGCCTTCCGGCAACAAAATTTGAAATACTGACAGCATTTGTCGGAGAAATAATACACTAAAATCATGGACATGAAACGTCTGCTGCTCGTTAAGGTTTTGATTAAAAGTTCGAATTTTGATAGATTGTTCTGTAAAAATGAACGTTTTAGTGATACTAGATAATCTAGAGACCCTTGAGCCCAAAAGAGTGTGTGGTTTGGCCCGTTATGTGTGGTTTCAGTATAACTCCCTTTTCAATTCTGTGATTTGAAGCCTTTTTTACGATTCAATAGACCTTTTTTCCTTTTTCACGTTGTTTTCGCCAGGAAATGCCCCATAGCGCAGAACCGGTACAAGATAGAGCAAAACGGACGAAATTTTCGCCCAAATATTTCTACTTTCACAAGTTACCTCTAAGGAGCCCATGAAAAAATATTTGAAAAAAAGAAATTATTTGCAACCTGTGGTTCTTGATTTTTTTAAAAGTCAATTTTTGAGCTAGAATGCTCATTTTCGAACTCGCTCTGTCTTTTTGTTTTACAAAACGACCCTTAAATTCCCAGATCGCTCTTTCAAATCTTTCTCGAGTTACCGTGCGGACAGACAGACCAACAGACAAACAGAATGAAACTTTTACGGTCAGTGGAGTAATGGGCTTCGCTGATCGCTCAGCCAACAAAACATGTGAAAATTAAAATAATCAAAAGAAACAGTAACAGAAAACCTTGAGATACTTAAAGAACTAACCAAAAACGTTGATTGAAAAGATGAATATGAAGCAAATGGAGTTCAAGAAGCATGGGAAAACCTCATCAAAACACTTAAATTTTACACAGATGTGGCATGTCCAATGAAATAATATACACAGAAAGAAAGAAAGAACAAAGTGAAATGGATCAAGAAAATAGAGGAAATAAAAGGAAGAATACTGTGGCAAAAGGCATGTATAAGAAAAAAGATAGAGGACAAAACAGAGGACAAAAAATAGAATACTAGGACTGCAGAGAAAGCTTAGACAAATGCACAATCAGGCAATGAAGAACCACTATACAAGGTAGATGTACGCCGCCAGACTACGTCTCGCGTAACAGGCTTCGCGATGTCTCACGAAACACTGTACCGCTACGACGCGCCTGGCATACATCTACCTAGGTCTGCGGCGCTGACACCCAAGTCGGGTAGTGCAAAAATGTGCACAATGATACGCGCCTCCGGCTCGTCAACTTCCCGTCACTGTGACTTAGCATGCAGGGTTGCACATTTATTCGCTTATTGTGTGCAACACACAGGGAGTTATTAGCGATGGTAGAGGCCATTAAAACATTCAATCATTACCTGGCAGGAGCACCTTTCACGGTGAAGTCAGACCATGCAGCATTACAGTGGTTGAAGAATTTCAAGAATCCCACCTGTAAACTGGCTAGGTGGTTAGAGAGGTTAGCTCTATACAAATTCCAGGTAGTGCATGTAAAGGGCACTAGCATAGGACATGCTAATGCTTTGTCCAGGAGGCCTTGCAGGGATTGCAAGAAGTGCGACAGACTGGAAGAAAGAGATAAGGATGTTTTAGTTTGTGCATGGAAGACATGTGCAGTAGATTGTGGTACTTGTTTGGTAGAATTACGGAAAAACACATGAATCACAGAGGCACCACTAAATACATATTGGACAACAGTAGTACCAGATGGACTTACCAAGGAACAAGTTGAAAGGGAACAACTACTTGATGAACACATAATGCCTATCATGATAGCAGTAAGAGAAGGGAAACGTCCCAGTTTCCAGGAAATAGCTGAATATGGCAGCAGAACAAGGGCATTATGGTACCAACCAGTTCAAATCATTAGTCATCAAAAACGGGTTACTGTACAGAAGATTTGAACATCAATCTGGGCTAAAAGAAAATGAAGAGCTACAATTAATTTTTCAAAACTTACAAGTAATGGAAACAACGGAGGACAGAGAGAAAGAAATAGATCACAAAATAAGAAAGGAGGAGAAAGCAATCACAAAAATAACAGAAAAGCTACAAGAACTAAACAAGAGCAAGTGGAAATTACATCCCATAGATGAGAACTGCCTAGCTAAGGCCACACCAAAAGCAGAGTGGATGAAGAAACTACAGCGGGAAAGAGAGAAGGAAAAGGGAGAAAAGAAGTTCCACATAGACGACCCAGGGTTCAAAGTACGGCACAGAAGGTGCAATCAGCGAGGACATCCAACGGCAGCATGCACTGGAGAGAAGAGAAGAAAGAAGTAATTATATAAGCATTGTACAGTATTCTTTTCTGTTATAAACCAATAAATAAAATTGTTCAACTACCTATGTAACCCATAGTTATTATTTCACAAACCCTCCAAATCATGTAGAGCAGGAATAATAACGGAGCTACAAAAGATAGTTAGAAATAAAAACGTAAACAAAACAAAGGTGAAATAGATTTAACACTCTAGCTCAAGGACCAAGCCATAAACAAACACATGAGCAGAGTAAAGAAAAAAAGGAAACAACAATAAAAAATTCAGAAGGGCTGAGCCATAATCAAACAAGTAAGAACTCCAAGTCAAATGAAATAGTTTTTTTTTTTTTAAAGAAAAGAAAGCGGCAAAAAAAAGAGGTCACTGGAATAACAGAATAAACAGAAGTCAGAAAATCGCTGAGAAAATCCTGAAGTAAAGAAGGAAAGAGATAAAACTAACCTCACTCCTCCGAGGGATTAACTGGTGAAGGAGGGGGAGGCGGCACCAGCGGAAAGGGGATGACGTCCTAAAAATTAAAGAAAAGAGGTTTTAAAGGAAAAGAGACCGGGTCTCCACAGAAACCTACGTACGCCGGCTCGTGACATTCTACGCAATGGTAGAAGGGCTGATGTAGACTTTCCTCTAGGACCCAGTCAATGCCAAACCGGTGGTTACCGGACAACGTATACAAATCCGGCTCCACCAGAAGTACACAAGAACCGCAAACAGTCACATTTCGACCGTTAACGTCCCAGGCATGGTGCATAAACTGCATAATTGGCACGAGCATGTTGACGACAAAACAGAAGTAACTTACAGCGACTGGCAGGAGGAGTCGCAGGGGGCGAAGATGGAGGAGATGGCGGGAGAACAAGGTTCTCGGAATGCATGGTCAGCTGGGGTGAAATAAGTGATAATAAAGAACAAATAAAGGGGAAAAGACAAAGAAAAGAGAAAATACACTCACATAGCAACCCCGGCCGCAGTAGCCACAGAACCAGAGGTTGTACAAGTCCCAGATTCCAACAACGGAAAACCAGGTAGAATAGTTTTCAGTGGGCAGCCAGTCGGGGTGCCATGCCACAGAATTCGGACACCTATGGCAAGTGTACCATATCTCACTGGTCGGAACGTATATGGATTCGTAGGCAATACCGGTAAGGACCACATGCCCTGGAGGAATATTAAAGTACGCGTCACGAGACATTTCGAACGGACAGAGAGCAGAAAGGAGACATTCGCGCGCAAAGCACCGCACACAACAAGTAAACAACAACACCAGCCACTTGTAGCTGACGCAGGTCAAAGGACTTGACGCGAGGCTAGGTTGCAGAAAGAAAACAAAAGGTTGGTGCGGGGCACCCGCTAGTGATTTTTCTGTGGAGTGCAAATATTGTTTGTCCAGTCTGGAGTTCTTCATTCTTCAAGTGTCAGTACAGTTTTGTGAGGATTTGTTACCTATCCAACGATGCAGACATGATGAACATTAATGATCCAGAGGCTCACAAGTGATTGTGATGACGAGCGCAAGAAGCCCCGAATCGTACACTGTGAAACTTGAGGGGACAATTTTTACGGACAATATGACGGAGGGTACAGGTTTTGGCCACAGTCGCCAGGGTACAAATCATTGGCCCCAATTCGTGGCCGTTTTCCATGGAGCGTGCCGGATCACGGTGGGTGGTCGTGGTGGTCGTGGGCAAAATTGTCTCCTAGGGTTCAGCTCAGCGCTCGTGGCGTGGGCCGGCGTAGCGGGCAGGTAGCGTCCCCGCCCCCTGCTCCCACCCCCCACGGAGAGGTCCTCGCCACAATGGAGTGGCCTGGCGTAGTGTCTACCCACGCGGGGAGGGGTGGCGGGGGAGCTGAAGGAAGTGTGGTCAAAATCGTCCCCTAGGGTATAGCTCAACCATCGTGGCGTGGCCCGGCGTGGCGCCCCCACCCACCCCCTCTCGCTGTGGCCAGCCTGTAGATACCCCATGCTCCAGTGCTCCCACACGTCGTGCCGCACCCTGCCGGCCACATGGCGAAACACGGCCGCACAGCCGCGCCCCATCCTACAGCGCTCTCCTGCGGCAGGTCGGTGCACCGACCGCCCCAAGAGCAGACAGCAATAACCTCGAAATTTTTGTAGTCTTCAGCAGTTTTCGTCGCACATCAGTTACGACGTAGAAGTTCGCGCGCGGGCCCCGCGAGCTCGTATCAACGAAGGGCAGTGGCAATGACAACACGGTTGTCAATGTATCATGTCCTCGAGTTGCCTGTGAGCCCGGTGAAACGTAACAGTGTTGAATGAGTGTGGATGAGTGTCATTCTATGTTTCGTCTTAATTACGTTGCGTCGGTGTGTGAGTAGTTGAAACAACTGATGAACATTCTTATCGCAACGTGAGTGTTCCATTTGTGTTCCTGGTGGGCTATTGGAAACGTAATAGAACGTGACACGAAATGCCAAAGTACAAGCGTGGCGTGAGAAGATATTTAACAAAGGTATGACTTATTACAATGAGCCTTACTGTGTGAGTTATGTGTGCCGTATTTGACATTCCCTCCCCCTTTTCTTTCTATCACAGGCTCCCAAGGGAAAGCGCTATTATGGTAAGAACAAGGTCATTAGGCGTGTGCAAGGCCGAGACATGGTGGCTCATGAGGAAGCCTCCCACGGGGAAGTCTCTGCTGCTGAGCACACAACACAATTGACTGAAGAGCAGGTCGGACAGTCAGGTTGGCCAACAGGTGTCCACGACCCTTTCTCTGGTTTTGAGAGGGAAGTCTCCCTTCCGGGGAGTAAATGCCGGCCCATCACTGTGTTATCTCTGTTTGATGGAATTTCTAGCGGCCATGTTGCTCTGAACCAACTTGGGATTCCAATCCTGCGTTACTTTACAAGCGAAATTTGCCCAAATGCCCTAAGGTGTGTTATGCACGTTTAAATTATGGCGCAGGACTTTTCAATTGACCTGATAATTACTATCAATTACGCAGTGATGTACAAAATCCCAAATTACATGTTCCAGGGTCCAAAGCTTACGCCATCCTAATGTGATCCGCCTAGGAGATGTGAGGCACGTTACAGCAGAAGTCATTGACCGCCTTGGTAACATTGACCTCCTACTTGGATCTTCTCCCTGTAACGATCTTTCGAGGGTAACGTACTATGACTATTTCTTTTTGTTATTGATTCAGAATACCTAATATCAATGTCTGTGCTCATAGGTCAACCCAAAACGCGCTGGCCTGAATGGTGGTACAGGTGTCCTCTATTATGAATTTTACAGGATTCTGAAATATTTGCAAGTTAAATATGAAAATCAGAATCACACAATGCGCTGGCTTTTCGAAAATACATGCCACCTTGATTCGAGCACGCTTGACCAAATGACAAGGTATGCCAGTTATGAAAATTCCTCCTATGGCTATAACACCTTTCTTACCAATGTTTCAATCATTGTATACTGTCACAGTGACATGGGTGTCCCAACAAAGCGCTGTGCTTCTGCCTTCCTGCCAGTCACCAGACAGCGTTACTTTTGGGGAAACATTCCCGGCTTACACAGTGAAGTGGTGGTGAAACAACCGCGGTGGGAACTTCAAGACTTCATTGATCGTAACAAGACCGCTGTCACCTCACAGGCCCGTACTCTCACTTCAAACAGAAGTGGCAATTATGCAAAGTATGCTTCAGCTAGGGAATTTCTGAGCCCAACGGATTACGAGCGACTGCAAGGCAAGCACGTCACTGGTTGTTGTAAATTCGCCTTACCATCCACAGCTGACAAGTTGGCATTTTCGTTAACAGGTTTGGAGCCCCATTACACAGATGCTAATTTAAGCATAACGGCAAGGATTTCACTTCTAGCGAAAGGTTGGTGTGTCCCGGTAATAGTGGATATATTATCAAACCTTGTCCCCATCTTTTCTGACAAGTAGGCAATTTTCTTCATTGAGTGACAGTTGTTTGCATTTGTGTACAAACTTTTTATTTTCACATGTGCACAACACTTGTTATTATAGTACCATAAAAAAATGGAAATATGTCATTTGGCTGACCCCACTTAGCTATAGCTTTATGTAGGTAATTTACACATGAATATTGTCAATCTTAAATTCATCTTAACTAATGTCCACGATATGGTGTCTACAAAATTACTTCTAGGGAGAGAGCAGATGGGAAAGGTTCCTATGACATAGTAGATTTCAAGTGGACATGAAGCATTATCAATGGTCTTCTTCAATTTTACATTAATCGCTTTTTCAGTACCATAGAATATTATTATTGGTCATTACATTAATCTTTCTTTCAGCACCAAAAAATATTATTGGCGTTGTATTTTTTTGGGTAGGTCTTTTGCTGTTTCAGTTATTAAATGGATTCTGTCTGAACTGCGATTCATTTTTAAGACAAGTGAACTGTAAATCATCCTTCAGTGATGTGTACTGCATTCATTTTACTGTAATAGTATTTTAAATGGCCCACGTGACTCCATATATGCAATAAATGTTTAGCGCCAGCAACCAAGTCTTTCTGTCTTCTGGACTACTCCTACTATCCTCAATAACGATGCAAAAGAAAATAGTGTTTAAATTTGGAATGAAATCTCATGACATGCAACCAGTTAGACTTGTAGTTCAAACCAAATAAATTTAGCGATTGAGCATGATAAATTTAAAACAAGTGCATCAAATCTTATGAAAAGTAAAACTTTGGGCATTAAACTTACAGGTAGATATTTTCCCATAATATGTACAGCAAAGCAGACAGTCAAGACCTTAGCTTCATGATACTGGTTAAAAGTTAGAGTTTGTTTGGTGGAAGTAAGATCCCAATACCCTTAACCATCACAATAATCTAGCAGGTCATCGTCCTCCAGCTGTGATAACCGTGCAATCTTCTGCGCCAGAAAAGCCTCTAGTGTCGCAATTCCCGTACGCAACGCAGCCATTTCCTCCTCTCTCTCTTCTCTCTCTCTGCGCCGCTTGGCCTCTCGTTTGGAGTCCGCGATGCCCGTCTCCTCGTCGCCCTCCCCTGCACGGCTGGCTTCTACCTCAGGCTGGGGCTCCTCGGTGCGACCCTCAGCGCTTAAGCCTTCTTCCTCCACGACTGTCGGCTCGTCCGGGTGCTGCTGCTGCTCCTCCTCCTCCTCCCCGTCCGTGCTGACCTCGAATAACTGCTGCGTCTCTTCTGACGTGAGACCCATTGTGCGCAACACCTGGCGCACACTTTGGCGACATGTTGCTGCCACATCTCCGATATAGGCGCGCGTCATTGCTAAGGCTTCATCACGGTCCCCTGCCAGCAAAAGACAACATTTCACGGGCCTGCACACTTCCGCTGATGCGGCTGTGTCTGTCGCACTCTAGAGCGGGCCCGTCCGCCGAACGCAGCGTTGCCTACTGCCCAGGGGCCGGCCCCTCACCCTGGGCAGTAGGCAACGCTGCGTTCGGCGGACGGGCCCGCTTCTGGTGAGCACAAAGCGCGCTGTAGA